GTTGTTCAAAAATATCCTTCAATATGTCCAATGTTAACATATTTTGCTTCATTCTGTATTTGTATGTTGAATTTACATGTTCTTCTTTAATTGTAATCTTTAGTTCCTTCTAGTTCCCCCTAGTGTTCAATTTTTAAAGTCTTATCTTATGTTTTTTTTTTAAAGAATTCAAAACAAAAGCATTTTCCCACAGGAAGGAGTCTTATAATTAATTCCAAAATTTTATTTCAAATTTATCTGGACCCTTAGTCTGTAGCTTTCTAAAATCAAAGTTTTAATCACCTTTTTGCTGTTTATTCCAAGAGTTTTTTTTTTAAAGTCCTTAAACTTGCACTTAAAACTTCTTTCACTAAAGTTCGAAGAAAACTCACCTGGTGTTTTCAGACTTATCGATCCAAAGGTTTCAAATAGCTGAAAAGCAATTAACAAGCAATTTCTGAAAGTGATTAGAAAAGGAGGTATGTGAACCCAGTGTCCTTTCAAAGGCGCCGACTGCAGTTTCAGCAAGATGGTTATTCCTTCATCTCCCAGAGCTCTAAACCTGCTAGAGACTGGATTTCAAGTCCCCTCCTTGTCCGGAAAATTACGAAGATCCAGTCTACCCGCCAACTCTTCATTCTGCCATCGTCAGCTCTGCTTTTCGTGGAGCTGTGTTCAGTCCACCATTTCTTCCCAGGCAGTCTGTAAATGGATCCTTCCCAAGTGGGTGAGACATGCATCATCAAGCAATACCTCTGAGCAGGAGCTCTGAAAATAGCAGAGCAACAGTAGCAGCAGACCTAGCTGGCACCTGGTGCCCCCTGACAATATCATGTTGAAGGTTTGTTCTGCCTTATGTTAAACCCGGCAACAGGAACACCACAAACATAACTTTAAAGAACCATTTATTACTTATCCCACTTTCTCCAGAGTAACTTATATCAGGTCTGGGTTCATTTCCCTTCAATTTGGGAGTACGGCCAAATTTGGAGGGCATTTCAAATGAATCTCTGCAGCAAAACAAAATGGGAAGGAAGAATCTCTTGGACGCAGAGACCAACATCAATCAAGAAGGCTGGAATGATCTTACAAGTCTCATGAATTATGGCACTGCTTCTTATTTTAGTTCCTCTGATTTGTTAATTCTTCCTTCCCAGTAAATGCACCTTAAACATAAACTTAAAGATAGCTTTCCCCCCCATAAAATATGACGTCAAAGAATGACTGAGCAGGGTCTCATACAAAAATATTTCAGTCCTGGCCAGCCACAAGATCCATTAGCAGATACTACAGACCCTTTTAGCTAGACTGGCAGAAGTTGAAATGATAAGTATGAGGCTGTGCAAAACCCATTTTTTGAATATATTTCTATTCATCAGAGATCAAGTGACCTATAGGGCAAAACAGACAGGAAAAATTCAGGATGTAGAAAGTGGATATACAGTGAAGAGGAAAATGTTTTTAAGCTATTATTAGTATTTCAAGGACTTTTAAAAATTATACACTTTTCCCCTTTGAGCTGTTTTAAGCAGATTAGTCAAACTAAGTAGATTTTAATTATCCAAGGTGAAACTGATCTGAGAGCAGAGCTTGACGCCCATCTGTAATCAAGGCAGGATTCATGAAAGCATGAATTAATCTAATTGTACTAATATAATATAGTTGTTACAAAATGACATATGCCATAGACTGGTATATTGTCACCTCACAAAGCATCATGAAGGTACTGCAATGGATGGAAAGATTTGCTTGAACTTTGGATCCTAATGTCCCATATGATTTTCATGTTTATGAATTTATATGCCATGATATAAATAGTAGAACTAACATTAATGAAAGCAACTAGCTCTTACTGAAGAAAAGGTAGATAAGCTTCCCTTTTAATGTTATTTTATATTAAATCCTTGTAGTTTGATGTCAACTCCTTCTCAAAAATATTTCTTAGTATGGTAAGAAACAGCTATTTTCAACTCATTTTTTTCTTTTGTTGTTCTTATATGTTTGTTTTCAACAGTTGGATTATTTTAATATTTCCCTCTAGGATTGTGTTTCATGTAAATGAAAATGGGTAGTCGGACTTACCATTCTGGTTACTGAAAGTTCAGTCCACGTCTTCTACTTAGAAGACTGGGCTCAAGACTTTTCCTGTCCTTTGAAAGAAACCTCTCCCTACTAATTTCATCTGAGAGTAGTTCTTCCTTACTGCCTAATTTACTACAACAAAGAAGCTTGCCACAAGTAAAGAGAGAGAGAGAGACAGAGGGAGGGAGGGACGGAGGGAGGGAGGGACAAATGAAAGAACAATGGGTGACAGTAAACATAGTTATTTAGCCTGAGTCTGATGGAGTGAGATGTGGTACTGGAAGGGAACTGTTTCTTGCTGGCAGAATGCCACACAATGCATTCCCTGACCCACCTACTGGCAATAGGTAGTACAGTTTGCCTTTCCAAGTTGTCTTAGAATAGTGTAAACTATATATACACATGGGTATATTTTTAGCACCATGTGCACAACGAGCTTCTGACACATGCCTTCTATAGGGCTGGAAAAGGTTTGGGCAGAAATTGGGAAGTACAACTTCCTGTGCTTAGTGGAATATGGAATTGACCTTGAGCTTGAAACAAACACCCTGTCTTAGCCCCATCTTGTCTTGATGGAATATACATTAATCCCTTCTCACTAAGAAAGGCCCTAGTTCCTCAATTCTCCTACCAGGGTTAGAACTATTGTAGCAAGTGCTGCCCCCTGCAGCCAAGCTATGGTAAAATTCAGGATTCCTTTCCAGGACAGGAAAAGTCTTAAGCTCTGCCTTCTAATTAATTTTATGTTGGTTTCATTATTTGTTAATGAGAATTACTTACTTTAAGAGTATAGAGACATGGAAGCACATTGATGTCACACTGAATTGCAAACACATATAGTTTTTGTGAGAATGAACCGCACAGCCATGGTTGATTGGACTGGAACATGACAGAAGTCAGTTTTAGAAGTCACAATAAACCATAGGAGGAACTTCCGTGGCTTGTTCATTTACTCCTATTAGCAGAAGGAGCTAAGTGGCATCAATGAACTCACTGCTCCTTCATGGCTAACCTTGAACTCTGAAGAAATGTAATTGTTGTACATGATTGCAATCAAGTTATGCATTTTGTTTCCTTCTAATACTCTATTTCCTATTTATCATGTATTGTGAAATTGGCTATTTAAAAACAACATTCCTGATGTTCCATAGCTTTGGAACATCTGTCTGAAGATATTATATATAGGAACCAAAAACATCTGTAAAATATTTTAAGGGCCCACCAAAAAACTGCACTGCACTCCTCCCTGGAAGCTGTCAATCTATAGACCTTACTATACTTCCCCTTCTTTTTTGGCAGAGAACTCCTTCAGAAAGAGGTATGACACTGGCTATGAATGTGTGGGCTACCATTAACAGAAATATAAGCAAATCCTTTCAAAGAACTTTATCAAGGAAATATTACTGCTACTGAAGACCTATTGCTGAATTGCTGGATATGTCCACATTTGAATCCAACAGGTGTAGAGAATGTTCCTTTACTTTTCCAGCCTTGATGGTGATACTGACCTATTCCTCTAATGTAGAGTGAATGGGTCCAATCTATTCTTTCTAGGAATTCAATGAATATTTTTGCTTGGGGAATGACGATGCCATTCAAATTCTTGGATATATACTACACTGTTATGTGAGGAGAGGAGGTTTGCATACCAAAAGAATAAGTGGCTACCTCGAGATCCATTATTTCTGTCTCAGAGGAAAAGGCTGTTCTGAAGTTCCACTAGGCAATAATATGGAGCCTGTCTGAACCAAGGTTTGGTAATTTTGTTCCATGGAATGAGACAACTTGTTTATGCTTTACAGAAGAGACTGACTTGTTTTCAAACAATCTTATAACAGGTTTTTAATTAAAAATAATAATTTGTTAAAGTTTGTTTGTTTCCCTTCATATGATCTTCTTCGTTCTAATCATATTTTGGGTTGGTTGTCAACTGCATAATCATTCATACATACACATTCTTGCAACATGAACAGGTAAGCATAAGATTTTTTTAAAAAAGAAAAACTCTAAATACATTCAGCACTTAAAAACATATGTAAAATTATGATTTGACAAAGTAATTGGATTCAAACATATTCTCTCCAACATTTCTAAAATAAAGGGTGAAATCCAGTGGAATATTTCTACTGCTAGAATTTTTATCAGAGCAACAAGGAAGTTTGTGTGTGGTAGAGAGAGGACAAGTGATTGTGTTCTCTATTCCTTCAATATGTGCTTTGGAGGATTGGGGAAACCACCCAAAAAAATTTGAACTGGTGGACGGGGAGCCAGCAAAGGAAAACTCTATTACATGTAATTCTGGATTTCAGTGAAAGTTCTTACTTTATGGTAATTACTTCTGGGACTTTTCTGTTATAGATTCATTACTATTGTTTTTCCTCATTGTGATTAAATGACAGTATTTACCTAAATACACATCACTTTCTTACAAACACAACTTCATTATAAATAGAAACTTTGGAAACAAATATATTTTAAATCAGTTGTGTTTTAGATAATGGATATAAAAATCAAATAGTGGCTTCCAGATTTCAGAAAGGTCCTTATTTTATGTTGCGTGGTTTTACGTGTTGTGGAATTCATACACTACCAGACGCTGATTCTCCTGAAACACTGAAATGTTATTGTGCTGATGGAGAAATAAACGTGTGTGCCAAAATTCCATAATCCTTTCTTTTAAAGACAGCATTGTTAACCTTGGAACGTGTGTGTTGCCATTCGATCCCAACATGAGAGTAGCAATATAAGACTCCAACAACAGAGAATGTTGCCCAAGGCCAGCCTGTGGGGGAAAAAAAAATAGATTAGCAATGCATAAATTCCTACTGTCCATATGTGAAATAAAAGGCACAGCTGGTCAACATAATTGAGCTAAAACCTGTATCTACATAACATGAATCAGGTGAGGCTTCATTTGATTCTTAGATATCAATAGAAGAAAATATATGTAGCTCAGGGTTGAACTGTGGAGTCCTTGGTGCTCTCTGAGCTTGGTTGTTTGCTTGTAGATGTTACATTACCCGACTAGGTAACATCATCAGTGCTAGTGAGTGTGGGGTTTGGTCCCTGTTTATATACAGTAGCTTGCCCTGCCAGTGTTGGTGGGGGTGTGGTTTTCTCCTTGGTAGTTCTTTGATTAGGGTATTGTTTTTTGCTTGATTGTTTGTCTGGTGTTAATCTCTGTTTATCTGGATGTTGGCTGCTGAAGAGGATGTGTTCTGGTTGTTTTGTTTCCTTCTTCGTTTTTTGGTCTTTTTTCTTTATTTCTTTATCAAATTTGTCACTGCCCATCTCACTGCAGAGTGACTCTGGGTGGTTTACAGTAAAAACAGAATAAACATTAATTAAAATAGATAAAAATTAATTAATGAATTAAAATATGCTACAAAACAAACTTCCTATATGATACTTCCAAAAGGCTGATGTTAATTAGGTGTTAATAAACTCAGGGAGTGTTGTCAAGGCGCCAGCCATCCCCAGGGTCAGTTGTATCTTTCCTCGCCCCACGCAAGTTGGCACATCCAAGTCTTCAATCCCTCCAAAAAATTGGAGGGTAGGGGCCCGCTTCACCTCTGGGGGGAGAGTATTCCATAGGGCAGGGGCAATGGCAGAGAAGGCTCTCCTCCTAGGACCTGCCAGTCAACATTCTATCACTGACAGGATCTGCAACAGCCTTCTCTGCTGGGCCGGGTGGGACAGGTCGATGTAATAGGGGTGAGACAGTTCCTCAGGTAACCCTTTTGAATGGTGTGTCAGTGTGGTTTATCTCTATGTATCTATTGATGGATGATTTGTCTGAGTGCCAAGCTTCAAGGAATTCCCCAACGTTTTTGGATTTAGCTTGGTCTAGGATACTCAGTTTCCCAGTTGAAACTATGGTTGAGTCTGTCCATGTGTTGTGAGATTAAGGAGTTTTCATCATGTCTTCTGACTGCTAGTTGGTGTTCATGGATATGCTCTGCTAGTCTTCTCCCTTATGTCCTACATAGTGGCTGTTACAGTCCTTACACTGTATTTTGTAGATGACTTCTGTTTTTTGTTGTTGGGCTATGGGTCTTTTACTTAAGATGTTTTGGAGGGCTTTAGTTGGTTTGTGTGCTACAGTGATGACGTGTGGTTTTAACAGTCTGTTGGTTGTTTCTGAGATGTGGCAGTGTTATCCTTTTCACAGCTTGTGTTGGTTGTACTGTAGTGGGTTGAGTGGTCAGGTGCTTTTTGATAAAGTTGCATGGGTATCCATTTTGTTGGAAGATGTTGTATAGGTGGTCTGT